GTATGTTTCACATTCCGGAACTCGCCACAGGTAATTCTACGTGTCTGATTTGGTGTTCATTCTCCCCCAGCAGAAGATGGACCAGCAGGGAATGGTGACCAGCCCTACCTGGGCATGGGTCTTAGGATATTTTGCTTTGTTGTCCTTCTTCCCAAATCTTATCCAGGGCCACCATAGAAGGAGATTCTCTGGGGCTTATTTTAACTAAAGACTCCTGCCTTCAGGATGTGGGGCTGTTAAGCAATCTCAGAGCTACCTGCTGGCTCCCTTGTACACTCTGCCTCATCCAGCAAGAAGCACACACTTGGAGCTGGACAAGAGCCTGGTACACGCTGGTGTCAGCGAGGAGACTGGCCAAAGCAGAAGACTGTCAAGAGATGGGAAGAAGGCCCATAGCAGGGTAGGGCTGCTGCGGTGATGGGATCTCCACTCAGATTGATGGTCAAGAGCATGCACATCAGTCAAAAGACACCCGCTCACCCACCAGCTTATCTTCCTGCCTTCAGGACATTTCCTCCGGACAGCTCTCAGCACAGCAACCTCCTGCCAGTGCAGGAGGCTCCCTGCCACCGATCACAATTAACAGGCGGTCTGGCAACATGACAAATGGACCCTTTCCCATGATGGAGTCACAGAAATGTAAACTGTCATAAAATAAACGCTTACTTGATGTGTGCTGTCCCTGCACAAACGAAAGGGAAGTCCTCGATGGCAGAAAGGCAGAGAAAAACAACAGCCAGAGCCCGCAGAGGCGCCAAATTTAGGTTCTTGGGCCTGAACTGAGTTACTAACACCCGAAAAGGAATGGGAGCTGTGGCCTTGGCCTGGCTGGGAGGAGAGGAGCTTTTCATCTGAGTTCCGCAGAAAAGCAAAAGCACCAGAGAAATGCCCCTTCCTGAAAGGGATTAGAAAACACCTCCCAGCAGTCAGGGGAGTCTGAGGAAGCAAATGGTCTAGTTTGGGTGCAAAAGAGAAAGATCACCTGTCAGAAATTGAATTCCTAAGGCCTGTGCCCTGAGAGTGCAGAGTCCAGGTTTATACTACCTGTGAGGCCCGTAACTCCCAAGCAGAGAAATTAACATAATATTTGGTTAAATAATTGAAGCCTCTAGGATTCTAGTAGGTAATACGTGACCATTCTGTGTAGAAACACTGTCACGAGAGCACACGAGAGCCACACAGGAAAAGCAAATCATACTGCGAATGAGCTCACAATGAAAAGTGACAACTCATGTGAGGAAATGAGCCTCGGGAGTGGGAACCAGCAGGTGCAGCTGGCTCCTCAAGAACTGCAGGCAGTGGAACCATCTGAAAGAAGCTGTGCACATAGTCATACCCAAAATTCCGAAAGCGGAACCTGGTAGTGCTGATCCTTGTTCTAATCCCAACCTGTTCTTCCTGCGTCCACCTTTTTACATCATTCCAACCCTTCCTGCCATGTAGACCCAAATTCTTGAGCTGTCTTCAAATTCTTCCTCTCTCAGCTGTTCCCCTTAAAAATGGTTCTCAGTGTTCTCATCCCCCTTCTCCTCTCCTCTGTTACTGTGATGGCCATTTAGATGATCTCCCTGCCTTCTCATCCCCATTGTTCCCTTCTCTCTCTCTCTCTCTCTCTCTCTCTCTCTCTCTCTCTCTCTCTCTCTCTCTCTCTCTCTCTCTCTTTTTATGTTATCTGTGTGGGGATGACACCCACATTTTTTTAAAAAAATATATTTTTATTGATTTTTCACAGAGAGGAGGGAGAGAGATAGAGAGCTTGAAACGTCGATGAGAGAGAAACACCGACCAGCTGCCTCTTGCACACTCCCCACTGGGGATGTGCCTGCAACCAATGTACATGCCCCTGACCAGAATCGAACCTGGGACCTTTCAGTCCGCAGACCGATGCTCTACCACTGAGCCAAACCGGTTTCTGCCCCTCCTCTCTTTAATCCACCCCTACACTGCCACTAAATTATCCTCCTAAATGTGTAGTTCAATGATTTTACTTGCCAAAGCCAAATTCTTTTTTAAATAAAAAATTTTAATATATTTTTATTGATTTCATAGAGGGAGAGGAAGAGAGAGATGGAAAACATCAGTGATGAGAGAGAATCATTGATTGGCTGCCTCCTGTATGCTCCCTACTGGGGATCGAGCCCACAACCCAGGCATGTGCCCTTAATTGGAATTGAACCTGGGACTCTTCAATCCACAGGCTGACACTCTATCTACTGAGCCAAAACGGCTAGGGCCAAATTCTTTTAAAAAATATATATATTTTTTATTGACTTCAGAGAGGAAGGGAGAGGGAGATTTTGAAACATTAATGATGAGTGAGAATCATTGATTGGCTGTCTCCTGCATGCCCCTTACTGGGGATTGAGTCCACAACCTAAGCATGTGCCCTTGACTGGAATTGAACCTGGGACCCTTCAGTCTGCAGAGTGACACTCTATCCACTGAGCCAAACTGGCTAGGGCCAAGGCCAAATTATCCTATGTAATAAAAGCCTAATATGCTAAGTGTCTAGTCATCCAGTTAGCCATTCAACCAATCAAAGCATAATATGCTAATGATATGCTAAGGCCACTCAACTGCTCACTATAATGTACACTGACCACCAGGGGGCAGATGCTCCAACCAGTAGGGTAGCTTGCTGCTGGAGTCCAGCCATGGAGCCCTCTCATGGTCCCTTCCCAGCTGGCCAACCTCCCATGTCCCTCCTCAGTCCTGTTCCTGCACCAGTGGGGTCCCTTGGCCTGGCTTGCACCCTCTCACGATCCAGGACCCCTCAGGGAATGTCAGGGAGCCAGTTTCAGCCCGATCCCGCAGGACAGGCCAAGCATGAATTTGTGCACCGAGCCTCTAGTTGATTATGAAAGTCCATACCTTCCCCAACTTGGAATTAAACATTTTTTCCTGTTTTGTTCCCTGTTATAATATAATCACTCCCACCTGCTATTTCAGCCATTCTGGCTTACTTATCCTTCCGACCCTTCCCCTCATGCTTCCCTGCAGTCTACTCCTTCTGACTAGACTGCTCCCCTCATCACATCTGCTGACTGAAAGTGAACCTTAGCTTAAACCTTTAGAAGCATGGTGTGAAAGAATGAAGGCATCATTACAGCTGGACACATCTGGTTTCATGTCCCAGGTGTGTCACTTAACAGCTTGAGAAAGCCACAAGCTCTCTGATCCTGATTCTAACCATGTAAGACGGGAATGGTACCTACTTGGCAGAGTTGGGAGTGTTAGAGGTCATCTTCAGAAAGCACTGCGCAGAGAGCCTGGCCCCAGTAAGTCCTCAGTAAACAGTTGCTGAATTGAGTCTCTATCTTCACATGTTTATGGGAGCTAATGTCTTCACTGCTTCCCCAGCCAGGGCTCCAGGAGGCCTGAGGCCTTGTCCTATTTGTCTTTTCATCTTTGCTCTTTCCTGTGACTAGCACAGAAAACCTTGAAACATGTCAATTGACAACTAGTGAACGAATGAGGCCTGATGCCAGAAGAGGGTGTTTTGGGTAGAGGCTCTGGCAGGTGTCAGATGCCGGAGGGGTATTGGGCTCCAGTCTATACTGTGTCACTCCAGAGAGGGGAGAATCATCACCAGGAGCCACAAAGAGGCTGATGCTAGCCAGGGCAGGAAGGAATCACCAGCATTTAGAGCTGTTTAATGAGAGCAGGTGCCAAATGTAAGTTGCGTGTCATAAAAAAAAAAAAAAAAACCCTCATATTACAGGAAGTATTTGCTAGTAATAATGAGAGAGGTTCATTGCTGTCATTCTGATCTTCAAAATACATACCTCCCACCTAGAAGGCTTGGTTCATAGCTAAAATCTCAGGGCTTTTTTTTTTTTTTTTTTTTGGCACAAATTCAAGGCTCTCTATATATTTTTATTAAATGAATAAATACATGAAATCATTGATCAATCTGATTTTTAGAAAAGATATGTGCCACAAAGAGAAGAAAAAAAAGAAGGAAAAGCATGAGGGTTTAGCAAAAGACAAGCAGAGGGTGACAGAAGGGCAGAGAAAAGTGAGTGAGGGCCGGAGAAGAGGGTCCCGCTGGGAAGGCTGGAGTCCCTTGCCCAGGGCTGAGCACCAGGCCCTTCTAAACCCGAGATTCAGCTCGCCTGCTCGCTTCTGCTCTCGCTGCTGATGAGCGTGATCATGGCACATACTGAGCAACACCAGGGAAATCACTCATAAGATCTTGATCATGTCTAGATGGTATTATGATTTGATTTTGAAACTCCTTTTCCCCCATGAATTTAGGTCTCAATTATTGTGCTCTATTATTACAATTATTGTTGCTCTGTTATCACAATTACTCCGTTCACACTTGGTAATGAGTTTTTTAGAAATATGATTTATTGATTTTTTTTAGAGAGGGAGAGAAAGAGAGAGAGAGATCCATCACTTGCTTCCATCACAGACTCTGGCTGGGGACTGAACCCACAACCTGGCATGTGCCCTGAGCAGGAGTCGAACTGGCAACCTTTTGGTGCATAGGACAATGTTCAGCCAACTGAGCCACACTGTCTAGGGTGGAAATGAGTTATTAAATGAAGTGTATTAAGGTATTATTTTTTTCCTTTGGAGTATCATTTATTTATTTAATAATATATTTTATTGAGTTTTTATAGAGAGGAAAAGAGAGGGATCGAAAGCTAGAAACATGGATGAGAGAAACATCGATCAGCTGCCTCTTGCACATCCCCTACTGGGGATGTGCCCTTGACAGGAACCAAACCTGAGACCTTTCAGTCCGCAGGCCGACGCTCTATATCCATTGAGCCAAACCAGTCTTGGCTAGAGTATCATTATTTAAAAACAGTTGATTTTCAACAGTGACACCAAGTCCCAAGGGGGAAAAAAAAATCCCGTCCAAGCATAGAAGGATTTCTTACTTGATAAACAGAGCTTATAATTCTCTGGGACAAGCTGGTTCTCCCACCACCAAAGATCAGCTGCTCTGAGTCCGGACTCCCTGCTCTGCCCTCGCTGCCCCGCGGAGCTCACCAGGAGACACAGCGGCCGCGGGGCCTCAGGAGGCCCCCCAGGCTCCGCAGGGCCTGCGGCAGCCCCTCCCCGGTGAGGGCGCTGCAGGCCCGGAGCTCCCAGCAGCGGCCCTGGAACCGCTCCAGGCCCAGCTGGTCTCTGATCTCCAGCAGCGGCAGGGCCCCGGGCGCCTCCTGCTTGTTGGCCAGCACCAGGAAGGGGACGCTGGCCATGCCGGGGCTGGCCAACACCTCCTTGAGCTCAGCCTCGGCCTCGGGCAAGCGGGCCTCGTCCTTGCTGTCCAGCACGTACACCAGGACGTCGGCGCCTTCCAGGTAGTGTTTCCAGCTGGCCCTGAGCTCGGCCTGCCCCCCGACGTCCCAGAGAGTCAGAGACACGTGCCCCGGGGCCTCCAGGGGCTCCACGTTGAAGCCGATGGTGGGCAGGGTCTCCACCAGCTGGTAGCCCTTCAGTCTGTACAGGAGCGTGGTCTTGCCGGCGGAGTCCAGGCCCATCATCACCGCCTGGGCTCCCGCCTTGTGGCCTGGGGAGTTCACGGAGCCCATGGTGGCCCCTGGCGAGTCCTGGGGGAGAGAGGCCGGGGCACACGTCAGCCATTCTTTTCTGGCGGATCCCACAGGCCCCTGCAGGCCCACGGAAGAGGAGCTTCCACTCCAAAAACAGGAAGTGCCCTGACAGTTTCAAGCACAGGCCTGGGCTCTGAGGGCCAGGAAGTGGGGGGGTGAGTCACCCTCAGCCGGCCCCTGGCTGGGCAGCCTCCTTCAGAGAAGAGCTCGGGGCCCTGGGAGACAGGGAATGCGGGCTCCTGGCTCCCAACCCGTGGGAGGTGAAGCCAGGAGGCAAAACAAGTTCCAGTCAGACAAACCCAGGTCAGCAGGAAGGACGCCAGGTGCCTGCACGTCTTGCTAAGTCTGTGCTGCCAGCCTCGGTTTCCCTCCTGGCAAGCCGAAGCCCCGGAGGGGAAGCGGCCTTGGGCTCAAGCACCGAGTGAGGGGCAGCGGCTCCTGCCACTCCGCTGCCTTTGCAACGCCCGCAGGCCAACAGCGTGTCCTGGACTCAGGCGCTATTTATAAACACGGTGGCTGGGGACACACCAGCCAGGGCAGAGCGGTCCCCTCCACTGTCTTACCGAGGTAAATTCCCTCTCCCGTTTCCCAAAAATCAGAAATTTTAAGACTAAGACCTGATCCCAGTTCAGTCAGGGGACACCTTGGCTGGGACAGTGACGGGACATCTCACCCGAGGAGTGCCTTTCAGCTGCCCCTGGAGGAAGATAAGACAGCCCCTGCTCATCCCGCGTGCGGGGAGAAGAGTAAACATTGTGGTTACCTCGGTGCCCTGAGCCAGAGGCCGCAGCTCCTCCCGCAGGGTCTTCTCCCCGCAGCTGCTGTCAGTGACGTCCGAGAGCAGTGAGGGAAGTTGCTGTTTCTCCTTTTCTGCTTCCTTTCCCCTTCCCCGCCCTCCCTCAGCTCTGGGGCTCCCGGAAGTTCTCCCGCTGGGGATGTGCCACAAACACCCCGGCTCCTCAGCCCTGTCAGAGCGAGGTCCAGCACCACCTCCGTGTTGTGGCAGCTTGGCCTCCTTGCAGAAGGAAGGGGCCCCGGTCACAACTGTGCCCAAGTCCAGCCACTTTCTTTTGCTCTTCCTCTCACAATCCTGTGACCTCCTCCGTGGAGAAATCTGAGAATCAGAGTTCTTCCTTCAGCCCGGCTAGCCCATCATTTCCTTCAGTGATGGAGCATCGACCTGTGAACTAGGAGGCCACGGTTCTATTCCCGCTCAGTCACATGCCTGGTTTGTGGGCTCCATTCCCAGTGTGGGGCGTGCAGGAGGCAGCTGGTCATTTAACAAAGGAAGCAATTGGGGAAAGTCAGAAACAGAGTGTGCTGTGCACAGCACTGTGTTCTGCTGTTCCTGATGTTATTGTTCTGTTCTGAGTGCCTGGTAGCAGGCTGTAGTCCTTTTGCAAGGGCCGGGTGTGTGGTGAGAGAAGGGAGAATGTGGACGGAATTATTGTCAAATAAAAGCCACAGTTGGAGAGTAGATGAAGCCCTAAAAACAGATTTTATTCAAGACGATTGCCATAGGGGGACCTCACCGAGGAACGGGGCTCAATTTGGAGTACAACACGGGCAAGTGGGGATTTAGCGCCAAGGAGCAGGATAGGGTCAGTGGATGCAAAATTACTAAGAGAAAATATCAGGGATAATGGGGGTTGTTTGTTGGTTTGTTTTGCTAAACTGAATAACAGGATTCTTGCTGAAGGCAGGCCAGGGTGCTCAGACATCACCTGGGAAATGGTGGGGGAAGAGGAACCTGTTCAGGTATAGAGGGTGGTCAGATATCAAGGATTATATAGTCTGGTTAAACTGACCTAGCAGGGTTCTACAAAACGGGATTTTATAAGGAAGTGCACAGATGGTCCTAGGAGAAGGTTCAGGAGCCTGACTGAAGTTTGGTTAAGCCGAGAATCTCTGTCGTTATCCCAGGAAAGCCTCAAAGCAAAAGGTACTGTCTGGAGGAGGGCTTGTCCTTCTGCACTGGGCCACGGTGGGACTCAGTCCTACCCAAACCTCGCTGGTAAGTCAGTGGGAATCCTGCCAGGAAGTGATTGACAGGAGGATCGGGCTTGGCAGAGGGTAAGGATGCAGCAGGCTAAGGATGAAGTGTGCTTGGAGCCTGGGAAGCCAGGGGGTGCTGCCCTGATGCTTCCCTCATGTCTGAGCCCAGGGCTGGAGGGAAGGCAGGCAGAGACTGAAGAAGCCGTTGACTTAGGGGCTCAGAGGCTTCAGACCAGGCTGTTTGGGTGCTGAGTGACCCCCAGTGACACAGTTAAGGAAGGAACATGCCCTCACCCTCCTGCCCCAAGGATCCCAGGGATGCCCGGGGTCACATGGGCAGCAGACAGGGCTCTGGAGGCCCTTTGTGACCCCACAGCCCTAAGGCCCTGCCCCCGGCCGAGGCCGGCCTTCAGCGGAGGCCCTGCGGGGGCCGCTCAGGCTCTCCTGAGGGCGAAGGACTGTGTTCGCTGGGAAAGCGGGAGCCAGGGAAGCAACAGTCGCTTCCAATAGGCCCCAAAGGCCTCTGTGGCCTGAGTGCCCTGCCCTTTCTTCCCTGCGTTTCTGTACCTCCGTTCCTTTTTCTGTGAAGTGGAGATGATGGCTTTAATAATAGCACCCAACTTGGAGGGTTATTGGGAGGGTTAAGTAAATTAAGACACATCAAATACTTAGCCCTAATCCAGGCACCTAGTCCCAGGTTACTAGGACTAGGTGCCTCCCCCTCCCCCTCTCCCTCTTCTTCCCCCTCCCCCTTCTCTCCCCTCTCCCCCTTCCCCTCTCTTTTCCCTTCTCCCTTCCCCTCCCCCCTCCTCCTCCTCCTCCTCATCCTCCTCCCCTTCCTCCTCCCCTTCCCCCTCCCTCTCCCTCTCCCTCTCCCCCCTCTTTCTCCTCCTCCTCCTCATGCTCCTCCCCTTCCTCCTCCCCTTCTTCCTCCCTTTCCTCCTCCCCTTCCTCCTCCCCTTCCTCCTCCCCTTCCTCCCCTTCTCTTTCTCTCCCTCTCTCTTTGTCTCTCCCTCCGTCTCTCTAAAATCAATGAACATATCCTCGGGTGAGGATTAAAAAGGAAAAAAGTAGAGTTGTGTTTGGTAGGGGGCACAACACCTTTGTAAACCTGTGCCCGCAGCTACTGGCAGAGGAGCTCTGCTAAACCCACTGGCACAGGAGAGACCAGGGTGTTGGACCCCATCTCTGCCGCCTCCGGGAAATGAGGCTCCCCCGAGGGCCCTGCGCAGAGCCGTGGTTCAGACTGTGGGCTTATAAATACGCTGTTGCCAGTTCGCATACAGGTAGTCAGGTCTGGAGGATTAAGACATGCTCATTTCACTCACAGAAACACACACCACATGCTTTATTAGCCAGAATGCAACTTCTCACATTTCCCAGAGACCGTGTAGGCCCAAGGCCAGGCGCCGGTGTGCGCACGGAGCAGGCAGCCGGGAAGGAGCGCCGCGTGGCGGGCACCAGGACGCGGCGTAAAACCGCACGGAAAACACGTGCACAGCGGCCCTTTGGAAACAGAGAGTTGGTGGTTTTAAAGGCTTGTTTATCATGGAACAAAGCCTGGTGCTCGCTTTCTTTTCTCCTTCCTGCAGACAGGTCGGAGGGCGGCGAGGGCTGCAGTCCGAGCCGTGTCCCGGAAAGTGCCAGCGAAATGCGGACACGGCCCTCCTTCCCAGCCCCTTTGCTGGGCTCCGGCGTCCCCGGCCTTTCTCTTAGTCGTTCTGTGGCCTCATCTCTAGTCTCAGGTTCTCAACTTGCAATACTCAAGTTGATAACTTATTTCCAACGACTGTGTCTATTAATAATGAGATGTTATTTAAATTTCAGATGATCCCTGCAAAATTCAAAAGGTACAGAAGGGTAGAGACTCAAGGGAGTTCTCCTCACGCCTGTCCTCCCGCCATGCAGATCCTTTCCTGGAAACAAACCACACCATCCATCTCTTAGGTGTGTTCCCAGAGGTGTCTGTGCGTGTGGAAGCAAGTTTTTCATGTTCATCTCCCTCCCTCTCCCACCCTCCAAATGGTAACATACTTGGAGGAATTGAATCGCTTTATTAAGTATTTCCATCAGAATATCTCAGCCATCTGCTCTGTCAAGGATCGGTGGGAGAGAAAAGAAGTGACAGACAGCAGCCCAGGAGTTACCCAACTTCCCCAGCATTCACCCAACCCCCGACCCCTGCACACCCACCCCACGGTGAGTGATGAGAGGGAGCATGTGCAATGTGCAGGTTGTCTTTTGGAGGTATTGTGGTGAGAATCAATACCTTAAGTTTAACATTCTCTGAGACGTTTTACTCCATCTATCACTGTCATTTATTAGGCAACCCCGGGAACCCTAAGCAGTACAGCTGGTCCTTGAGTAGCAGTGGGGTTAAGGATGCTGACTTCCCATGCAGTAAAAAAATCACAAATAATATAAACAGTCGATTAAGATATATTTTGTTTTGTTTTTATTGATTTCAGAGAGGAAGGGAAAAGGAGAGAGAGATAGAAACATCAAGGATGAGAGAGAATCACTGATTGGCTGCCTCCTGCATGCCCCTCACTGGAGATCCAGGCCGAAATCCAGGCTTGTGTCCTGATGGGGAATTGAACCTGGGACCACCTGGTTCATAGGTCAATGTTCAACCACGCTGGCTGGGCTAAGATATACTTTGTATATTATCTGTATTATATACTATATTCATACAATAAAATAAGCTAGAGAAAAGAAAAATATTAAGAAAATCACAAGGAAGAGAAAATACATTTACAGTACTAAAAGTATTTATTGAAAATAAATACTCGTAGGTGGACCCTCACAGTTCAAATCTGTATTTACAAGGGTCCCCTGTACACCTGAAGCTGGGATGGCTGCCAGAGTGCAGCTTACCGTGCCTGTTTACAGAGATACCGTATTGTCCGGCGTATAAGACGACCGTGTGTATAAGACCCCCTAACTTTACAGTTAAAACATAGGTTTAGGCCTATATTCGCTGT